GCACTGCCAGCCTGCGGACCTTTGCGCGAACTCAAATAGTCCTCTAGACGCAGTTCCTCCAGTGACTTCATCTCGTACTCTTTCATTGCGGTAATGCAGTGTTGTTTCGTATTCACATTGTTTGCCTGCCCACCCTTCATGAGCGTGTCCGTACCAATGGTGGGCTGGTACTTGGCCACTGAAGTGCCCGGATTGACACCGCCCGCCGCCCCCACAGCCACAGTTTGCGGTTGTCCGAATGCCGACGCAGCGCCACTGCCAAACACATTTGTCGTCGTTGGCGCTGCCTGACCAAAACCGCCAAAGCCCGAAGTGCTAGCAGCAGTCGCTTGCTGACCAAACAGTGGCTGGGCTGCCGGAGTTTGTCCAAAGCTGCTCAGGCCCAAAGTGGCGGGTTTTGCGGCGCCAAAGGCACTCGTCGCACCCTGCCCAAACAGCGAGGTATTTGGAGCTGCTTGCGTGGAGCCAAATATGTTGGATGTTTGTGGAGCTTGTGAAAATGCTGGAATAGAAGAAGCAATTATTAAAGGCATTGGTACTTGCTATCAAATTATTTAATACATGTGTATGTATATTGCATTAAATAATTTATTTATACGACTCTCTAGAGTCTCCCATAATTCATTAGCAAGTCATCATAGCTTATTTAAAGGGTATTATTCGTCTCTAACCTCCAAATGATGAGGGCGCTGTGGTGGTGCCGCCAAAAGCGCTGGTTGTCGTCGAGCTACCAAACAAGCCGCCAGGCTGTTGGTTCGCTGCCGGTGTGGTGCCAAACATCGAGGGCTGCGTCGGTTGGGCGCCGAAAGCGGATGTGCCTCCAAACGCTGGAGTCGCTGGCTTCCCAAACGCCGATTGACCAAATGGCGTTGCAGCTGCGCTGTTGCTGAACGTTCCGAAGCCCGTGGTTCCGGTACCGGTGCCAAATGTGGGCTTAGCGCCGCCAAACATCTTGATCGATCTGCCGGCTAGCTCTTGGTACACACAAACATACACTAAACACTAATCGCAAGTCGTCAAATGAGTTCACAAAGGAGTGAAACACGAGCTCGGGTTGCGCAAATATATGTTTATGTATATGTAATGTATGCGTATCTTGTGAGTGCCTTTGTGTTGTTATTCGGGTGCGGCAAACTCGAAGACGATCAAACGGGTGATCGTTTAACAATAATAATGCAACTTTTAATATATTGAGCCCGCACAAAGTTATTTTGGAAGCACAAACACAGAAATGGCGCGCCGAATATTTTTCACGATGTCTTGTCTGGCGGAAAACAATGCGACCGTTCACAGGCACCGTCGAAGGTGTTTATATATGCGAATTTATATCCTATGCAGCCCTCGTTTGGCAATAAAATAAAAATACCAACTTAAGCTAAAACATACTCTTAATGTGTATGTTAGCTTTAAACATAGTTAAATAAGCTCATCACATTAAAAAAATATATAAAACAACTGTCAAAGCTTAGCCAAAAATATTTTTTATTATTAATACTTTATTATTTTGTGATCATAGTGTTACGGTATTTTTATCGTTTCCGACGGCTGGTCACATTGGCCCAGTAGAAGCCGAGCAACAGTTGAAATGAGTATCACGATTGGTCCGCGCGGGGTTCATTCCGGTTAATTAATTAATTGTGAACGAAACAGCGAAGTGGAAATATGCCCGCTCGAGTGTGTATGCGTGTGAGTGCGGGAGCGTAAGAAGAGATTATGTTCGGCCAACTCCCAAAATGAGAACGTATTGAGGCGACTAATAAAGAAGTGCAAATAACATATTATTCAATGAAATATTAACACAGCAATATTATTGTGCAATAAATAAGAAAATAATACAATGTTGTCGGCTCTGAACAACTAAATCAGATTCAACTACGTGTTGCTTACATTCATGAGTGAACATTTATTGTTTTTGTTTTCTATACTCATATTTCGCGACGCGTTTGCTTTTTATTTTTTTCGCAAACGAAAGTATATACATATGTGTGCGTTCGAGTGTTTATTAGTGTGGTAAAAGTTAACAATAATAGTAA